ATACAGCACAGATTGGGTACTGGATACTATTTCGTTCCTCTAATAAAAGGGTTTGTGAACAGGTTTTGGGCAATTGCAGAGTATTCTTGGATAATAAAGATAATTATAGTAAGTACTCAGAACATAGGGGTCTTTTTGACTATACAAATAAAAAGATAAGGAATTTTTAAAATAATAACACAACCCCAAAATGGATGTTAAACAAACACCTGTGAAATGTAAGCCAGACCCTTTATCTGTTCAGCTACACAATGTCCTTCTGAATTTACAGGTGTTCAGTTAGCTTAGAATGCCACAGAACTATAACACGGATGGTTAAGGGCTAGTGGAAGTTTTGCAGGGCTGCTCAGAGAAAGAGAAGTACAGTAAAACTCCAATTGTCCGGCATCCAGTGGTCCAGCACTCCCAATAGTCCAGAACCAACTGGAACCCGGAAGTGCTCTAGCCAGCCAGACAATTGGAGCTGCTGAGAGCCCCATGGGCGCTTGCGGCTGGGAAAAGGAAAGGGAGAAGAGGGAAAGGGTCTGTGACAGGGTCTGCCGGGACCCATGCTGCAACCGTTGGGGGGTGGGCGGGGAATGGTGCGGCAAGGGGCGAACCCTCTACCATTTTGCAGGAAGGTGGGGGAAGCCCTGCGCCGCCGCCAAGAGTTTCCGGGTAGGAAGCCCGCTCTCAGCAGCGGCGCGGGGCTTCCCCTGCCTTCCTGCAAAATAGCGGAAGATTCACCCGCGCCACGCCATTCCCTGCCCACCCCCCATACGCAGTGTGGGTCCCAGCAGACCCGTCACAGCCCCCTGCTGGAGTACCTCCTGATACTCCAGCATATCCGATAATCCTGCACCACCTAGGTCCCAAAGGTGCCGGATTATCAGAAGTCTACTGTATAGCACACATGGTCTCAGGAGCAGACCAAAATAGAACAGACTCACAATTCTTCTCTGGCTGCTGCTCCTTTGTTCTGAGGAGGAGTAAAATACTTCACAGCTCTGCATGGAGCAGTTCTCATTCTGTGAGCCTGGCCCTGCAGTAAGCTAGAACTCCACTGTGCTCTCTTCTTCTGCAGCTACAGTCTGGATGTGGAGAGAGGGCTTAACGTGTCACATTCCTCTATGAGATCAAGCGGCCTCTGTGACAAGCCCTGCACAATACAGGTGGCCAAACCAAGTCTAAATGTTGCCCTTGCTTTTCCACGTCCATTAACTTCAGGGGCAAAGCCCGTGCCAAAAGGTCTGGTCTCATTTCTAACAGTTTGTCCTGCATGCAAATTTTCTGGAGAAAAATAGGACTTAATTTTCTGTTTTACTTAAATAATCAAATCAGAGTGTTTGCCTTATCTGAACTGTGCATTTCTCCATAATGCAGTCTCCTGTAGAAATGTTTGCGGTGTCTGCGTGGGTAAAGCCATACATTTGCAGTGTTTATCGGCAGGACTACATACCAGCAGGTGAACCTTGAGTTTGGTCCTATATTTGGTAGCGATGGCAGCGTGCTTCTCTGAGCGTGGCTTTGGATCACAGCTGTGACTCAATGGCATGTTTGTCGGCAAGCTGCCAACTCTTAGTTCCATACAGGACAATTCCCCTTTTATAGTCCTTTCTGTAGGTATTTGTTCAGTGGGGCACGATGAGAAGTAGTTAGGTTTGCTCCTCGTCGTCTTTTGTGTTCTAAACTGGCAAAATCCATCCCAGCTCCAGCACCATTTATCCTCCTATTTCCCTTAATGATGTCACCAGAGCTATGACAGAAAGCTTAGATCTGGCCTGCGAAGACACCTCTGTGCTCTCAGAGGACACTGGAACTAAGCTCTATTAGTCTATTCCCAAGACAGCCACATCCTCTGATTAGAACCATAGCTTTGGTTTGAACAGGTTCCAGATCACAGAAGCAAAAATCCTTTCTCAGTTCCTGGAGATGTACCTATTGATTTCTACTGACATTTACTGAATGATCTCTAATTGTTTTCAGCAGTTAAAATGTCTATGTTGCCAGGAAGAAGTATTCTTATCTTCCATCATTCTGCTTTGCCACGAAGTGTAAAACTAGAATGTCACAAGTTTGGGTCTGTCCTGCTCATTTGCTTTTACTGATTCATGTAGTTGTGCATCTGAAACAAAATAGAGAGAAGAGAGATTTATCTGAGATGCTTTGTTTTCTGGGGACTACACAACAGGCGGGTTTCTAATTTGGTTTTGTTGTGGTTTATCATTGTGACTCTGCAGGAAGAACTTTCTCCCCTGTAATTAGCAAAGTGCACTAGTAAAAGCTCTGAACAGTGGAAATTCAGATTCCACCCTGACTGACCTCAGTGTGCTGTTTACTTTTGTGCAATGGAGTGTGGAATTCTGCCGAACTGCTACTACTTGTACAGATAGACGTAGATGCTGGCTGCGTTATTAGTGTTGTAATTGTCCTGACTGCCATAATGCTAGACACCACCGGAGAGACCAGAACCCCACTGTGCTAGAACAAAAGATGGCCCCTGGTCTAAGAGCTTACAATCGAAATATATGGTCAGATATAAAGATGGATGCAGATGGGGAAGTATAAGGAAACAGTACTGAGCAACATGATAGACTGTGGTCTTTTCACATGAGCAGTCTAGCCATTATCAAGTTTTTTGGAGGCATCGCAGCAAAAGAGCGTATTAAAAAGGGATGTGATGAAGGATGTGCTATCATGCTTCCCATGAGCATTCCTCACAAAGGGCCTCATCCAACTCTCACTGAAGTCGGTTCCAGTTTGGATTGGGTTGGATTGGGCCCAAAGTGCAGTTAGGTCAGTGAATGAGGACAGTGTACAAAATTGGGGAAAGAGAATGAAAGCGTCTGTGTTGGGAGACACGAACAAGTGACTGATTCTGGACTGCAGGGGCAAGGGGGCAGCTCCATGCTCCCAGAAGGGGTTGTGCCTGGAGTTGGAGGCTGGGGTAAGAGAGACTGTGAGAAACTAGTTACCAAAGAGGAGTGTTCTGTGACTCATGCCTCTGTGGACCAGCCCCTACAGCTGCATAGAGCAGTGCTTCAGAGGTGATTTAAAGGGCCCAGGACTCTGGCCACAGGAGCAGCAGCAGTGGCTAGGAGCCCTGGGACCCTTGAATCACCAGGCTCTGGGGCAATTGCTCCCTTTGCCTCTCCCTCCCCCATATTGGTGTGCCTGTTGAACTGGGAACAAAGGTAGCTGGGTTCTATTCCTAGCTCTGCCACTGATCTGCTGGGTCATCTTGGGCAAATCACTTCACCTTTCTGAACCTTAATTTCCCCAGCAATTGATGGAATATACTGTGACTCCCGTTCCTTTGTGAAACACTTAGCGCTTTAGGCAGGGGAGTGATATCTCAATGTTACATGGTACTGATGGCACCATGTTTTAATCCATTATCCCCAGCTAACCCAGGGTACATCTACTACCCGCAATAAATAAAGAAGTCTCACAGAAGTGAGTATCAGTATCTGGATTAACTGACGCGGGCTAATGTTCCAGGGCTGAAAATAGCAGTGCAGATGACTGGGCTGCAGACAAAGTGTGAAGGCCTACACTGTGCTATTTTTAGCCCTGCAGCATCAGCCCAAATCAGTTAACCTGGGCTCTGAGACTCACTGCTGCAGGTATTTTTTGCAGTGTAGACATAACGCCCTAGGCAATAACTCAAGCTGTGCTGAGCTCTTTAAGTGGCTTTTTAGGCATCTCAGCTTTGATTCCCTGTCCTTGGAAATGTATTTAATCAGAGCTCCACAGTTGTGATAGCTTCAGCCCTAGCTCATAAAAGGTAGACCCAATGTTGCGCCTCTCATAATGTGAATTGTCCCACTGGACAGAAACCTACGTAGTGCAGACTGGGGTCCAAATATAGCCATGTATTCTAACCCTTTGCCATCCTCTTTGTAACTGCAGAGAAGGATAAAGCTAATCAAAAGCAGATTTTTAAATGATTTATCTGATAGTGATAAAGTCGCCAAAAAGCAGATAGTTAGCATTATTAGCCAAGCAAGCCAGGGTCTGATGGAGGAGAATGGAAAACCAGGTTCATTGAATGGAAAGTTGGAGCTGTCCCTAGGAGGTGTATTGCTGTCTCAGTAGCTCAGGGCTGTTTAACTTTGGAAGCCCTGGGGGCCACAATAATACTCACAGCACATGCTGAGGGCCACAACTTAAGTTTGCTTGCATATATATGCAGATATATGCGAATAGCTTCTTTCACACAATGCCCTGGCACACCAGGCACCTCCTCCCTGGGTGCTAGAAACACTGACATCCTGTTACCATCTGTTCCAGCCAACCTGTCTGCTTGCGTCTTTCAATGCTCAGCCTGCCTGGGAGACGCCTCACCATTTTTTGGAGAGTGTTCCCAGTGGAGCCCATATTCAAAGGATCCCACCTACGGCCACACATTGGGCCCTGCGTAATCCCAAACTGCACCGTGGACCGCAAACAGAGGGGCTGTGGGCTGCATGTTGAGTAGCCCTGCAGTAGCTTGTACTCGTGATAATGAAACCTACCAGCACTGAAGAGGCATCTAGTCCCAACCTTTGCTGAAGAGATGTTTGCTGCACTGTTAACATGTAACTGTGTTTGGGTTTGGGATTTTATTTTCAATTATCTTTCGCAATGGAAAATTATATACACCTCTCTGTGCAATTCCACACCCTTTGTCAACGTACTCTCAGCACTTCAATGACTTTACCCTCACAGCACGTCCTGTAGTGGGAATGGACGCACAGGGAGACTGAGGGACTTAGCCATGCTCACAGTCTAGGTCTGTGACAGCACCAGGAATGGAACCTAGAGCTCCAGGGGCCCAATCCTGGGCCATGACCACATAACCATCCTTTCTCTTGATTTATTGCATTTGAGCACCCAAAATGGTCTTCAGTGGAGCATGCCAGGAATGCAGGGCTGGATCCCTGCAGGATACCCTGGATGCATTCCCAAAGTAGAAAATGCTTTAATGCCTATTTACAGAAAATGCTGATTATGTTGTGTGTAATTTTGAAATGTTGCAGAGTAATAATGGTGATGGAGATTCGGTCAAAAACGTGCTCACGTCTCCTGAAAATCGCATACTTATCAAACGTATGTTGATAAAATGCGCTGACATTTCCAATCCATGCAGACCTCTAGAGCAGTGCATTGAATGGGCTGGTCGCATCTCTGAGGAGTACTTTGCACAGGTAAGGGGGCTGGAGAGAACTAGAAATTCTACCCAAGCGATTCTTTTGATGGGAGAGGAGGAATCAGCAAACGGGCTCTACTAGTATCCAATCAAGAACTTAAAGCTACACTATTCAGTTTGTATTTTATACTAGAGAATTTACCTGGCATTGCTTGGGTCTTTAACTCAATTATTTTTTGTTTTTCTTCGTTAGAATCATTTCTCTGGGATGGAGATAGGGATAAAGGGTTCAGTGTGCAGGCTGCCCCAGGGAGAGAGCACAACCTCGGCCCTTTCTCACCACTGCAGCTTGGGGCCAAGTGAGAAGCACCTCTCCATGGCCACTGCAATGGGCACAGCTGGGGGACAGAGGGACAAACAGACAAACTCTCTCAAATATATAGTAGATAGCTGTCCCTTTCTCTGCCCTTGTCCCCTGCTGTCCCAGTGGGGTTATAGCTGTCCTGGTCCCCATCTCGGGCCTCTTGCTGCCCCCCTGTGATCATTATTCAATATAACTATCCCTCCTAGCAGACCCCACCCTTTCTGTTTTATGTGAAACAATCACATTTCAGGCACATTCCATTGTCCTGGCACAACCCTGACCTTGTTTTAAATTGCCAAATTTGATGGTCCCAGCTCTTACCATTTAAGAGGAGTTCTTGAGCAGACTAACCGATGAACAAACAGACACACCAATTCTCTCAAATATATATAGAAGATTAGCTGCTTATCAACAACAAACAGTAACGCAGAATGCAGTATCTGTGAACACAAGGAAGCTGGCTTCACTGTAGTGAAAAAAATTGTTTCCAGATTGTTTAATTTGCAGTTTGTTTTGCTTAAAAATATACTACATTCACAGCCTGTGGAGGAAGAGGGCCTTATGCATGAGTGTCTCTCACGGATATGATAATAGAGTACAGGAAGTCCCCGAGTTACGCAGATCCGACTTACGTCGGATCCGCAGTTACAAATGGGGTTTGCTGCCAGTCTCCCTGGTCTGCTGGAGACCAGCAGACCAGGAAGATGGGAAGCAAAGCCTCTGAGGACGCCGGCAGCGGGACCGGCGCGGCGGGGC